TTATGGGCTCTGATGTGATTAAATTAATGCTAGAGAGAGGATGGTGAATGCCAACTATGAACAAGCAAAACAATCTGAAAGACTTAAGTACCCTCCCCAAATTCACTTATAAGCCAAAAGGAATAAGGTAGTACATAGTCAAGAAGAGAATATAACTAACAGAAGTTAACTATGACCCTTTCTGGATCACAGGAAGCATTCTTAAACCTAAACTAAATGGAAGTTTTTATTGTATATTCAGTATAAGCAGCTATAAAAATGTGTCCTTGGGTTCCTTTAAATAATCATGGGAGTGCCAGAAAGTAATTTACTAGAAAAGCAAGCTTAGAGACTGGGATAAATAGAGAAGAAAAGTGGATATACACCATCCTACCTATATTTGTAAAACTCTTTTAGCTACTGAAAGCACACCCACATCCTTAATCATTTTCGCCCCATAAGAAACCTCTGAAGTTGGGTGGAACAGTTATTATTATCTACATTGGAAAGGTAAGGAAACTGAGGCACAAGGCAATAATTTTATGTTAACTTAATGGGAAAGTTAACATCACAAACCAGCAATCATAATCCGTTTTTAAAAACTCATGTAGAGGGGCCAGCCCAGTAGCACAGTGGTTAAGTTCATGCACTCCACTTCAGCAGCCCAGGGTTCATGGGTTAGGATCCCAGGGACATGAAAGCCATGCTATGGCAGCATCCCACATAGAAAATAGAGGGAGACTGGCAGATGTGAGCTCAGCAACCATCTTCCTCAAGCAAAAACAGGAAGATTGGCAACAGACGTTAGCGCAGGGCCAATCTTCCTGACCAAAACAAAACAAAAAAAAACCTCATGTAGACAACTTCTAAATGCAACCACCACCTATGACAGAAGAAATTAATAACTGAGAAACCAGAGACATAGGATTATCACAATACGTCATTTTGGAATGACACTATAACCTCTGAACGCCCTCTTCTCAAGCACAAAACTACCTGGAATAATACAGGAAGAAAAGCAAGGATTTGGCCTTACCTGGTACCTCTGAGACCGGAAGCAGGTTAGAAAGCAAGGGCAATACAACAAGGACTAAGCACCGTGGCAACCTAGTTCCCAATCCTATTGGAAGAGATTGCCTCTTCACACTGTAACGGTCACACTGCTGTTCTAAATCTGCTGTTCTAAAACTGCTGTTCTCATCTTTCCCTTTCTTGTTGATTTGAAACAAAGAATGATCAGATCATAACTGCTAACCTCAGGAACAGCAACTAAGTCTAGTATCTAGGTCTGGTTTCATCTCCATTTTTCTCCTCTTTGGATTTCCTCAAATTATATATCAGGCTCCAAGACCCCACTTCTACTGTTAAGTCTATGGACAAAACATGTTAAAAAGAAATTTAAATTTCTGTGTCTAAAAAACTTATCTATAATAACAGTCTCTCCATACACACAGACATACAAAATACATACATATATGTATTTTATACAGTACTTTGGACTAAAGATAATAACTATTTAGAAAAAGGACATGGCAAAATTTCTGGCATTCTATCAACTGAAATTTCTATTTTATGGTATCTCTATGCATCTAACTAACTGAAAAATGATGTTCATAATGATGGCCAAAAGGTGCTGCCTAATTTTGAAGTGCCTTCTGAATGCCCAAAGATTAAATTAAACTAAATTGAATGTAATGCAAGGAATATTTTATTGTATTCCAATTCTCTGAATATTGGTAATCTGTATCCTAGCCTTTACTAAGCAACATCCTATCTTTTCATCATGATAGATGAGATTTTTATTATAGTATTTTGCCAAAAATAGTAACTACTACAGTTTCCATTTATGGTCACCTACTCTATACCACTGTTTTCTATGAAGGGAAAAAACTGTCATCAATGAAGATTAGGAATTATCAGTTGCTCTGGTTTTAGAAGAATGAGACTTTGAGAATGAGTACAGAGAGTTGAAGTACTCTTCTACAGCTACCTTTTGACTATGTTAGTTTTGTAAATCATATAAAGAAATTATCTTACAAGGTAATATAGAAATATATACAAATGAGGAAATAAGCCCAGAAAGGGTAAGTGATTCATTCAACATTATACAGGTATTTAAGTAGAAGAACCACCTGGCTTCAAAACTGTCTTTTTCTTTGCACTGTATTCTCTCTCCAATCTGAAGAAAGACTAGAAAAAGGCACGGTAGTATACTTTGTGTTAAATTCCAAATAGTATGGCATTGGATAGTTCGCTAATATGACATCAATGAGCATTTGGTCCTATTTAGAAGAGGTAAAATGTAATAATGTGTCACACTCAAACTCAGTCTTCAGTTAGTTTAAAATCTTAACTACCTCTAGTAAATTATCAAGGCATTTTAGATTTTCCTCTCAAAACTGTGAAGAGAATGATAAAAATTTTCTGTATTATCTTCCTTTAGAAAGAAACAATGGCAAATGGAAAAAGAGCTTAATGTTAGATGTCTCAAAAAGTTATCAGTACTTTTTTTAAAATTATGGCATTTCAAGGAAATTTGTAAATGAATATAGGTAACATATATCAACTTCAAGGCAATTTTCCTAAATGAGGTAGCCTTATAAAAGGTAGAAGTAATATCAAAAGCTCAAACAAGAAGCCTAAAGATTCAGTTTACTACTGGTTAAAAGCACTGACTATAAAAGCCAGACTACTCTGCGTGCCTTGGTTTCTTCATCTATAAAAATGAGGAAATAGCTCTATTCCTACCTCTGAGGGTTGCTTTAAAAATTAAGTAAGATAATCCATATAAATAGAAGGCTTGACATGTAAACACTATGGAAGTAATAGCTATTGTTATTCTAAAATTCATTAAAAAATCACCAACCCACTAGAAGAATTTAGTATATTCTGACCTCAAATACTACAGAGCTGTACACAATTCTTAACCAAAATGAGAACATCTCTACTAAACATTCAAAGACAGGAAAGTAGGTACAAGTAAGTCAAATATCTTTCAAACACATTTAATTTGTTTACTTAAAATAACAGGCCACGCTGGTACTATGTCTATATCAATAAAAACATTTAACTGGCTTTGTTGTAATAGGTATTAAATAGGGAAATACTGGAAAAGAGTCACAAGCATATATATGCTTCTTCTATAAGCAGATGATTCCCTATCTAATGTATCAACCCCAAATTATTAACCATGGGATTCAATGTCTATCAGACCTCACACATTTCAGTATTCTTTGGGAAGTTCCTTCAAATTTTCCACTCTAAAACTTTATGAGGCAAAAATATGCTTCTCTCTTTTCCTCAAGATGATAACCAAAAGAATCTGCCTCTAACCATCTAGTCACTGAGCCAGCATTCAAGTGACAGCCTTCTGAGCGTGTTATGGCTCTGCACGCTCAAGTAGGAAATGCAGTTCCTCAGTCCAATGCATATAACAGAGTAAACCCAAGAAGAGAAAACTAGTAAAATTACAAAGGACTACAGAAACAGAGAAACAGAACAATAATAAAAGTATATCCAGGACACTTAATGGTTTACAAAGTACCTACCCATTCATTATCTCATTTAATTCTAACTACCCCTCAGGTAGGTAGGCTGAACAGATACTGTTTTCCATTTTAAACTCAAGAATATTAAAGCATAGAGGCCTCTACAAGATCCTTTATGTGTTTTAATAAGCAGATCCATAATATTGTCATCTTTGATAATATTTTAATCAACTACGTTAACAGCCCTGGAAAAAACACAGGTCATGTTTTCTGCATGTTGAATAATGATTGCTTTCCATTTTCCTGTCTCAATCAATCCTTTACCTCCCCACCTCCATAACTCTGTGCCTCTCTTCTGTCCTCCCTTATCTATCTATGCAAATCTCTATCTTATATATATCATATTTTATTGTGATTTTCTTATATGTTTACCTTTTCCTTCTAGACTAGTGTTCTGAGAGGAATTAGGAACTATGTCTTGTCTATCTTTGTGTCTACTGTGACTAGCACAGCACTTGTCACAAAGCAAATGCCCAGTAAACATTTAGTGAATAAATGATTAAATAAATGTATGAAATACCAGTTGAAAAAGAAGAAAAGGTTGACAAAATGAATGATTCTGAAAAGGGTCAACTATCAAAAATAAATCACAGAAAGAAACTCAGATCACTTATTTCTAATCTTAAAAGGTATTACTTTCTCTTTTTACATCAAAACTAATACTTTACTTCATGAAAATACATCTGATTATAACACCACATTCAAGTATATACTTCTTAAAATTTCTACTGTAATTTGGCAATAAAAGCAAAAAGAATAGAGCCAGCCCTGACGGCCTAGCAGTTAAAGTTTGGCATGCTCTGCTTCAGCGGCCTGGGTTTGGTTCCGAGGCACAGAACCACACCACTCACCTGTCAGTAGCCATGCTGTGGTGGTGGCTCACATAGAAGAACTAAAAGGAACTATAACTAACATACATAACTATGTACTGGGGCTTTGGGGAAGGAAAAAAAAGAGAGGAGGATTAGGGGCCAGCCTGGTGGCATAGCGGTTAAGTTCACATGCTTCACTTCAGTGACCCAGGATTGGCTGGTTTGGATCCTGGGCACGGACCTACACATAGCTCATCAAGCCATGCTGTGGCAGGTGTCCTACATATAAAATAGAGAAAGATGGGCACAGATGTTAGCTCAGCGCCAAGCTTCCTCTGCAGAAAGAGGAGGATTGGCAGCAGATGTTAGCTCAGGGTTTATCTTCCTCAAAAACAAAAAAAAGAGAGGAAGATTGGCCAAGAGATGTTAGCTCAAAGCAAATCTTTCCCAGGAAAAAAAAAAAGAATAATATAATATTCTTATTTTCAATACACAGCCTAATAAGAAATAAAACATTACCAACAGTTTTAATTATATCTGTATCATTTTCTTTCTAACTTTTAGTTTATTTTATAAAAATGGGTCAAACCAAAGACAACTTCAAATATGTGATAATTAAAGAAGTAAGTTTACACTATTATACTTTGTCTCCTTAACTCACTTTTCTGTTTTGAAGAATATTGCACAACCATCCACATGCTTTCTCTCCTGCTCAGACATTATTTTGGCACGTGACTTTGGAGAAAAAAATCCATCATATCCACGCTCCTTCAATGCTGGCAGAAAGAGAGTGAAGTATTGCTCTGTTTCCACTTCCTAAGATGAAAGAAAATTTAACATCAACATGACACAGGAAAACTCTGATTAAGATATAAAAATTTTCAGCATTATAAGTAAGATATGACTAAGATAAAATAATTTATATAACAAATATTATCTAATCATGTTACCTTACTATTAGAAGCCGCCATTTGACAATGGCAGCTTTCTAAATCTGAAAGAACCAGAAATGTCACAGGATTTTCTCATGCTCACATAGCTAGTTGGTCCCAAGTCTCTTGACTCTCAATTTAGAGTTTACTCCACTATACTTCACTTCCTCCAGACTGGTAATTAAACAAAGAAAACTGGTCATACTATAGATTAAGTGGTATAAAATAGTACATTTTATACATGAAGAGGTAATTTTCAAAATTATTTACCTTTCTCAACTGTGGTGGAAAGGAATGATACCCAAGAGTGAGAAGCTTAAGATCTATCAAAAAAATTTTACTTTAACGAATTTTTAGGTACCTGAATACCCATCATCCAACGGTCTCTGTTAATTTAGTAATTAAGTTAGACTATCTTATTCTTTGACCCATTAAATATTTTTAACAAATCTTTCCAAATGAAATAATTAAGTATGAATGATTTATGTATGATAATGCTCATAACAACACGATTTTATAATAGTAAAAACTCAAACAGCCTAAATGTCCAACAGTAGGGAAAATGCTAAATTATTTAATATATAGTCACAATCAATTTGCTTTGGAGAATTTCAGTCACATGGTAAGTGCATTAAGTGCAATAAACAAGAAACAAAATATGTCAATACTGTGACCTCAATTTTATTTTGAAAATATATCTATAAACAAACAGGTAAGTGAATAAAAAAATGTGTACATGAAATACTTCAGAAGTTTTAACACAGCAACTATCTTTGGGATATGAGATTACGTGTTTTCCTCCATCATTCTGTATATTTTCTCAAAATTTTCAACTTCTCTAGAATGAACACTTTATAATACAGTATTCCTTTTACAATAAGAAAATATATTTTTAATTATGATGTTTTTATTCTTCAAACTATACTTTACTTAGAAGAGTGTGAAGCTATTACTACAAATACAAAATCAAAAGACAGACGATTAACTACAACAAGCCTAATTTTATTTGCCTCCTCCTCCTCCAAATTCTGTGTCAGGTCTGAGTTAGAAGAAAATTTAAGTTTTTAAGATTTTTGCTTATTATTATTTCCCAGGAAGTCATATGAACCATGGACAACACAAAAATAAATTATCAAGTTACTCTAGTACAAAAAATATTATTTAAAAAGTAATAACTTTCTTCTCAGGCCATGCTGAAAAGAAGATGTGAACTTATAACATTCAAATTTTAAAATACCTTTATAAATATTTAATATGCTTTGAAAAGTTGCGAAGGAAAAAACTACTAAATACTACCTATAAACCTTCTTGGTTATTCATTAGCTGAGAGATGAAAAGAAGTGATAAAATACATATTTCAATGGAAAGGTGCTTTTTCATTTAAATGCATTAAAATCAAGTGTTGTAAAACAGAAGAGTCAATTTCAGAGGTGATTTTCAAAATAAAGCAAAAGTGCATGATTTATAGTAGAATACTTTTAAATGTTTATCATTAAAGGACCAACAAGTGGGCAAGCAATTTTTTAAAAATTCCATTATAAGTTAAATTTATACTCTAGAAAGACCAATCTTCTGCAGCTTTCTCTTTCAGCAATACCAATGATTTGTTCATGAGACAAACTGTTAACATGAATAATGGGTGAGATCATTTTCACTTAAGAACACAGTAAATGAGAAATGGATGGCTGAACTTAGCAAAATAGTGTCGCTGTGGAAATGTCTTATGTTCTTATTAAAATTGTCATTTTTTTAAGAGAGAAAACAATTCCTTTAGAGTTTTGCTTTGAACACAACATCTCTCCCAGAAGTAAGGTATCCTATTATGTTTAAGTTCACCTTTAATATTAATATTTAACATTTAACATAACACCTTAAGTTAAAGACAATTTAATTTCTATAGCATTACCTGAAGACTAATGATATCTGCATCACAGTTAACAATTTCTTCCATAATTCCCTTTTTCCTGTATTCCCAGTTTAATGCCCAGGATGGGCAATAGCCATATAGCTGCCGGGTGGCGTATTTATCACATAACACATTGTAACACATAACTGTGAATGATGCTAAGAAGAAAAAAGCAACAAGACAAAAGGAGACAATTAGGCAACTTTTTCTAAGCAGTATCATGTATATATTGTGTACAAGCACATATGGCATATAAATATACCTCAAATATCATCATTGTGAAATGCCTCAGGCAAGATTCTGTTAAACTACATCTAATAAAACTTCACTGGAGTTCATCACACCAGTTATTTTACTAGAATTAGACTAACAGTTCATATTTGAGATTTTTAGGAAATGTGTTTTAATAAATAAAAATTAAAGTTTTAAGTCAAAATGCTAATTTTTTGTACATATTTTGTTGAGCAAACCTTCTCTGCATAAAGGGAGCGGAAGTAAATTTTAGTTTCATTTTCATTAAAAGGTTCTAACATCATTCATTTTTATTAACAAAATATCCATACTTAATACCTTAATACTTTTTGGGGCTTCTTACTGCTTTCACTGCTCTGAGATGGAAGAATATAGACTAACAACCTGCTCAAGAAGATAAAGTACCTAAGTAGTTTAAAATTTTTCAGAAGAAAATTCATTATTACTCATTTTTCTTAAATCACCTGATACCCTGTGTGAAGATGCCATTTGGAAAGCTGTATTACAAGGAATAATTTTAAAATCAAGAGTTGCATCATTGTGAAAGACAATATTTTTGTACATAAGCCATAATGTAATTTTTTTTTGGTGAGGAAGATCGGCCCTGAGCTAACATCTGTTGTCTATCCGCCTTTTTGCTTGAGGAAGACTGTTGCTGAGCTAACATCTGCGCCAATCTTCCTCTACACTGTATGTGGGATGCCACCACAGCATGGCTTGTTGAGCAGTATGTAGGTCTGCACCCAGGATCTGAACTGGTGAACCCCAGGCCACCAAAGCAGAGTATGTAAACTTAACCACTACACCACTGGGCTGGCCCCATGTAATTTTTTTTTAAAATCTATCCATCAGTATTTTTAAACACAACTACCTAGGGGAGGTAAATTGAAGGCCTGTTAATTATATCACAAAGCCCAAATGACATTTCAAGTTATTTCTGGAAAAAGCCAAGGAAGAATAAGAAAAATTATTTACCTGATGGCAGAATTTGGTCTCGTTCTTTTAATGTAATCCATGGCCTCGGAGGAAGCTGCTCTGGATGAACTGGAAAACAAATTTTTTTAAACATAAATTAATTTCATGTGCTTCTAAAATCAGTATCATTTACTTTATAATGTTAAATCAACTTTTGCTTTTTCTTCAGCTATAATGGCCCATAAACTGACTTAAAAATCTAATACTGAAATATAATGAAAATTTATAAGACAAGAAAGTTTAAGAAGTGCTATGCAAAAAACACATAACTAACATACAAAAAGAATATTAGAAAACTCCTTAATGTCATTTCCAACTACACAGTATTTATGAAAGCACCTATTCAAAACCTTAAGTAGGATCTTACGTCTTAAGTACAGATGTAAACTGGGTTGACTTAGCCTTGTTCCCTGCTGGGAAATCAAAGCTGTGTGAAGTTCCACCATACTGATGAACTAAAATACTCAAATATCTTTAAAGTAGAAAATCACATATGAACGTATAATAAAAATTAATAAATTTTCTAATGGGGCTATCATTTCTAATTTTAATCTTTCTCCCTTTTATAATGTCCATGCAGAGCAAGAGATTAGAACTACACTATAAAAAGAAAAAAGGCAGGCACTGGTTAAACATTAATTGCTCAGATATCGTTATCAATACCACGGAACTAAACGCTACCCAACTACCAAATGAAAGAAAATTCACTGAGTTAAGATTTAACTACCCCTTTTTCTTCTTCCTTTTAAAAATATTTGCAATTCTAGGACATTTGATTCAAGTTTGCAGATTTGCTCAGTGTACTGGCTGAGAAATACATTCTTTTAAAACAAAAACACTCCATCTTCATTCAGCCACACAAATTTTAACCAAAGTATCCAAGATATTAAAAAGTGTCACTTTACTATTTTGGTGTTCCAAAAAGTGTACCTAAAGGATGCCTGGTTTTAGCATCCATATTTTTCACAAAGTGGAATGAACATTATTTTGCACATTCCATATGTAGCCAGGAAAGAAATGAAGGTTATCATAAGATGACAAACAAATCATCCAGCTGGTTCAACATACTCAATTCTGAAAAATAATCATGCCTGCTAGGAGTGCCATGCACAAATCATGTCAACTATCTCAAAAATAGAAAGCCCAACATACAAATACAATGAAATGCAAACAAGCAAATTTCCAGTTGTTGGGATCCTTATTAGCAAATGGTTAAAAATTCAGAAATCAAGAAAATTCTCAAAATAAAACAAGTACGGTGATGTCAAAGTTTTGGTGCTTCCCAAATCTTAACTAATACATTTTAACTAATATGTTACAATATATCAGGTACAAGTGAAACACATAGCATTCACCAATAATGTCTGGAGAGCCAACAACATAGGAAAGACATTCTATCTCACTAGTAACCAGGAAAAATAAAAAGTTGAGATAGGATGTTTTTATACAGGTTGACAAAAAAAATTTTAAGTTTACTAACATCCAGGGTCAGTGAAGAAACTGACATTTGCACATATAGCTGGTGGGAACACACACTGGTACACCTTTCTGGGAGGACAAACTGGATCATATTTTAAATTTTAAAACATCCATGCCCCTGTGACCCAGGAATCCTATTTCCTGGAATCAGCCCTATCAGCTTAAAGCAGCACGCAAATAGATGTTCATTACACCATGTTCATGAGAGCAAAAACAATGGTAAATGGCTAATATTCATTTTACAGAAGTCTATGGTACAGTTTAAAAGAACAAGGATAGATACACGTGCTAAAGTAGAAAGATATACAAACACTGTTTAGGAAAAAAAAGTAGAAAAACATAATGATAAAATACAACATTTTATTAGAAAAAAAATTTTAAAACACATGAAAAGAAATACCATAAAACTTCTATTCATTTTATTTTCATATGTAAATGTCTATACAAATATCTACAAGGATACAAACTCAACTTACACATGTGTACTTACATGCAGGGGTCAAAGGAAATTCTAGTCTTATCTGAGGAATTTTAACATTTTTTACAAGGAGAATATATATTCAAGTGTAACATATACTTTAATTTATTTAAAGATGAAACTGCAATGCCAATGGTACAACAAAGGATAGGAATACAGAGTTATACGGGCTACTATCAAATAAAATAAGTGCCCATCACCAGATGAATGGATAAACAAGATGTGGTGTGTATATATACATATATATATGTATGTATGTATATATACACACACAATGGAATATCACTCAGCCATAAAAAAGGACAAATTTGTGCCATTTGCAATGACATGGATGGACATTGAGAGTATTAGGCTAAACAAAATAAGTCAGACAGAGAAAGACAAATACCATATGATTTCACTCATATGAGGAAGAAACAAACAACAGATAAAGAGAACAGATCAGTGGTTACCAGAGGAGAAAGAGGTCAGGGGGAGGGCAAAAGGGATAGAGGGGCACATATTTTTGGTGACAGACAAAGACTAGACGATTGGTGGTAAACATAGTGCAGTATACACAGAAACTGAAATATAATAATGTACACCTGAAATTTATACAATGTTATAAGCCAGCATGACCTCAACAAAATTTTTTAAAAGTTAAAATAAATAAATAAAGACTGTTTAATAGATAAATATGTATGGTCCTAGACACAGTACTAGAATTTGGATCAAAATTGAAGATAAGTCTGTTCTCATCATAAAGAGAAGAGACAGCAGTTAAGATCTTAATAATCTCTCAAGATCATACCTAAGACGTGATAAAACAGTAATCCTCCCATTTTTATCTCCCAAACATGCCACACTAGGTGATAGACAGCCCTGCAACCAGCCCTGGAGCCACCAGGAATAGACAGGGAGGAAAAAATAGAAACCAAGAAAAGCCTGACTTCTCTGGGCAACAGAGCAGAAAAGGAGAAGCCTAGTGGGGACTAGGTGGGAAATCTACACTCAGTGGCACAGGTGAATCAATGTTGCTGATAGTAACCTCTCTAGCAGAGCCCAAGCAAGCCAACTCATCCTATATGTCACAGTGGCCAGCAGCACTGGGCCCGGACTCCCCACAGCGGAGGTGTCAGTTAAGCCTGGAAGGGCTGACAGAATCCACATGCTAAACCTAAACTAGGCAATTGCCTGCTACACCTGAAATTTAAAAAGGATCAAAAATCTCCTAATATTCAAAATATCCTGGGAACAACTGAAAATTCTGGTCATACAAAAGACCACGAAAATCACAACTTAAGTGAGAAAAGACTATCAACAGACATCAGCATAGAGATGATTCAGAGGTTGAAATTATCTGACAGAGATTTTAGAGTAGCCATCATAAAGTTGCTTGAAGAAGTAATAACAAATCCTCTTGAAACAAATGAAAAACTAGAAAACCCAAGCAAAAAAAAGTTATATTTTTAAAAAAGGACCAAATAGAAATTACTGAACTGAAAAAATTCAATAGCCAAAATAACAAAACTCACTAGAAGGGCACAATAATAAAGACAACAAAAGATAATATGAGTGAATTTGAGAACAAATCAACAGAATTCATTCAATACAAACAATAAAAAAAAATAAACTGAAAAAAAATGAACAAAGTTTGAGACCTGTGGGACTACAACAAAAGCTCTAAGACTCATACAACCAGAGTCCAGAAAGAAAAGAGACAAAACATGGGTTTAAAAAGTATTCTAAGAGATAACGACTAAAAATTGCCAGATTTAGTTAATGACACAAACCTACAAATTCAAGAAGGTGAGTAAGCTTCAAGTAGAATAAATCCAAAGAAATACACACCAAGAGACATCATCATTAAACTGCTGAAAACTAAAGACAAAGAATCACAAAAACATCAGGGAGAAATGACACATTACCTATAAGGGAACAAAGGGTTTCTCTTCTGAGACCATGACAGCCAGAAGTGGCACAACATTTTTCAAGTGCTGAAAAAAAAGAACTGTCAACTGAAAATTCTGTATCCAGCAAAACTATCCTTCAGAAATTAAGGGGAAATAAAGATGTTATCAAAGGAAAACTAAAAGACTTTGTTGCTAGCAGACCTACCCGTAAAGAATGTCAAAAGGAAGCTCTCTAAACAGAACAGAAATAACAGAAGAATTTGAACATCAAAAAAGGAAAGAACAAGGACAGTAAAATTAGCAGTAAATAATAGATCATCCTTCTCCACATGAGGTTCTTAAATCATATCTGACAGCTGAGGCAGAATTTTAACATTTGTGTGGTCCTCAATGTAGGTAGAGGAAAAACTAGAGAATTGTATTTTAAAAGTGGAGAGGGTGAAGGGACATAAACCGAAGTAGGCATCAATAATTCACTTAAAGTGACAAAACACCATTATCAGTAGACTGTGTTAAGTATGCATATTGCGATATCTAGAGCAACCACTAAGAAAACTATAGAAGGTCATATACTCAAAAACAGTATAAAGAGGGCCCAGCCCAGTGGCCTGGTGGTTGGGTTCACACACTCCACTTCAGTGGCCTGGGGTTTGCTGGTTCAGATCCCAGGTGTGGATCTACACACCGTATATCAAGCCATGCTGTGGCAGGCGTCCCACATGTCAAACAGAGGGAGATGGGCACAGATGTTAACTCAAGGCCAATCTTCCTCAGCAAAAAGAGGAGGGCTGGCAGCAGATGTTAGCTCAGGGCTAATCTTCTTCAAAACAAAGAAACAGAAAAAACAGCATAAATAAAACAAGATGTAATCCTAAAAAATGTTTAGATAACCCACAGGAAACCAAGAAAATATAAACAAATAAAGGAGAAACAGAGAAAACAGGTAATAAAATGGCAGACTTAAGTTATACATATCAATAATTACTTTAAATGTAAATGGTCCAGATACACAAATTAAAAGACTAGAATCTTGGTGGAGTAGACAAAAAACATGATACATGACTCAACAGTATGCTGTCTACAAGAAACTCACTTCAAATACAACAACATAGTAAAGTTGAACATAAGAGAATGAAAAAAGATATACCATGCTAACATTAAACGAAAAAAGCAGAGTGGTTATCAAAGACAACACTAGGAACAAAGAAAGTCACTACATATGATAAAAGGATCAATCCATCAAGAAGATGTAGCAATCCTAAGTATGTATACACCAAACAAAAGAGCTTCAAAATACATGAACCAAAAACTAAGAGAGTTGAGGGGCTGGACTGGTGGTGTAGCAGTTAAGGTCTTGTCCTCCAATTCGGTGGCCTGGGGTTCGCTGGTTCAGATCCCAGGTGTGGACCTATGTACAACTTATCAAGCCATGCTGTAGCAGGCATCCCACATATAAAATAGAGGAAAATGGGCACAGATGTTAGCTCAGGTCCAGCCTTCCTCAGCAAAAAAAAGAAGGAGGAGGATTGGCGGTGGATGTTAGCTCAGGGCTAATCTTCCTAAGAAAACAAAAACAAAAACCTAACAGAGCTGAAAAGAGAAACAGACAAATCTACAATTATGCTTGGGGATTTCAACACTATAATGCCAGCATCTGATAGGACTACTAGACAGAAAATTAGAAAAGACATAGAAGAAGTGAACACGATCAACAACCAACATGATCTAGTTTACATTTATAAGAAGACTGCACTCAACAAATATGGAATATATACTTTTTCAAGCATTGATGGAACATTCAGCAAGAGAGACAATAAAACAAACCTCAGCAAATTTGAAGGAACTGAAATAAAACAGAATATGTTTTCCAACTGGTGCCACACTGGAATCAAACAAGTATAACAGAAAAACAACAGGAAATTAAACAATACATTTCTAAATAATCCATGAGTCAGAGGAAGACGCAATTACACTAATCAGAATGATAATGAAAATACACGTATCAAAATTCGTGGAATGCAGCTAAAGCAGTTCTGAGAGATTTATAATGCTACATGCTTAGATTATAAAAGAGGAAAGATCTCAAATCAACAACCTAAGTTTTTACTCCAATGAGAAAAAGAATAAAATAAACCCAAAGCAAGCAGACAGGAGGAAATACTAAGGCATAGGGAAACAGAAAAGTTAAACATAAAAGAACAGAAAAAGATACACAGTGCAAATTCTAACCAAAAGAGAACTTATACAGCTATATATTTTTCATGTAACTCTATTAACATCAAAGGAGTAAGAACACCATAATGATAAAAGCTTCAAATAACCAGAATGATGGAATCCATGAAAATAGACATTTGAAATATATAATTAAAAGATTCTAAGAGCTACAAGAATAAACAAATCTACAAAGTGAGAGATTTTAACATAGCTCTATTAGTAATGAATAAAAACAAAGTAATCAGTAAGTATATATGACATATTCAAACAATTAATAAATTTTAACATACATAGAATGTAGCACCCAGCAACTACAGAATGCACATTTTTTTTAGTGCGTACTTAACATTTACAAAAATTAAGCATGTACTGAGTAATAAACAACACATTTTAAAAACTTAATCAATGAGAGTACATTCTCTCACCACAGTGGAATTAAGCTAGGAATCAATGACAAAGAAAACTACAACTCCCCTGGAAATAAAGAAAAAAAACTTCTAAATGACTCATTAGTCAAAGAAGAAATGATGACTATCAGAAAATATGCTGAACTGAATGATAATGGAAAATAATACACTTAAAATTTGTGAGATGCAGCTAAAAGCCATGTTTAGAGAGAGATTTATAAATGAATGCTTTGGAGAAAAAAAGAAAGCCTGAAAGTTAATGATTTAAATGTTAAGATGGTAGAAAAAGAGCAGCAAATGAAACCCAAAGAAAGCAGAAGGAAGAAATGAGAAATTACTGATAGTGAAAAAAAAAAAAAAACCAACATATAACAGAGAGGAACAACACAGCTGAAAATTGGTTCTTTTATTCCTAAAGAAAATATTGATAAATCTCTGGGAAAGACTATGCATGAAGTAAATATTGGCAAAACAAATGATATCTAGAATGGAAAAGAAACATCACTATACCTCAAATGGACATTAAAATATCATAAAAAGATATGCTGAACAATTTTATATCAATAAACTTGAAGATTTAGATAAAAGTGGCAAATAACCAAAAAACACAACTTTCAGAAACTGATAAAAAGAGAAACGGAAAATCAGAACAGTACTATAGTTATTAAAGAAATTAAATCAATAATCAAAAAATTCCTACAAAGAAACCCCAAGTTCAGATGTATTTTACCAAACATTAAGAAAGAATACCAATCTTCAAGAAACCCTTCCAAAAGATATAAAATGAAAAAATACTTCCCAATAAATTTTATGAGGCCAGCATAACCTTTCTATGAAAATTTGACAAGGATACTGAAGAAAGGAAAATTACTGGCCAATCTCACTCAAACTTACATGCAAAAAATCCTGAGTAAAATATTAGCAAACTGAACACAAGGATATATAAAAAGGACAGTAATATATTACAACCTCCTTTGGTTTCTCCCAGGAATACAAAGGTGGTATAATATGAAAAATAGTCAATACATTTACCAAATTAACAGAATAAAGGACAAAAATCATATACTCATCTCAATAGAGAAAAGGCATTTGATGAACATTTATTCATACTAAAAAATAAAAACTCTATCAAACTAATAGAAGAAAACTTTCTTAATCTGATAAAATTTATCTATATAAAAACTACACTAAACATCATACTTAATCATAAATTACTTAAAGCTAATCAACTATGAAATTAGACAAATATGCTCATTACCACCACTTTTAGTTAGCTTTTTACTGGTGGTCTTAGAAAGTGCAGTAAGGTAAGAAAAAGCAATCAAAGACAAAAGAATTAGCAAGAGAATAATAAAATGTCATTATTTACAGATGATATGAATGTATAAATTGAAATAAAAAATGCATTAGGATTAAAAAGAAGGTAGCAAAGTGGCTGAAAATGTATTTGCCAAAGGCATTTAGCAAGATGGTTGAATGCCAATAAATATACAAAACTCAACTGTATTCCATAAATCAGCAATAACCACTAAGATTTATTTTCAAAAGGACTGTAAGAGCATCAAGAAAAGTCAATACCTAGAATAAATTTAATAAAAAATGTGCAAGACCACTACAGAAACCTAAAACTCAACACAGAGAGAAATTAGAGAAGGCACAATAAATGAAAGAATATTACACATTGTTAGAACAGAACACCCAGTGTCATCAAGGATAGACCATATGTTGAGAAACAAGGCAAGACTCTATAAACTTAAAAGAATTGAAATAATAACAAGCATCTTCTCTGATCATAATGCTTTAAAGCTAGAAATTAATTACAAGTAAAAAGCTGAGAAAGGGACAAAGATGTGGAGACTAAACAATATGTTATTGAACAAGCAATGGATCACTGAAGAAATTAAAGGAGAAATCAAAAAACATCTGGAGACAAATGAAAATCATAACATGCCATAGCAACTCATATGGGATGCAGCAAAAGCTGTATTAAGAGGGAAATTCATCACAATACAGGCACACCTTAACAAACAAGAAAAATCCCAAATAAGAAATCTCAGTATATGAAAAGAAGAATGTCCCACTACCATGGGATATACTAACGGCAGCAACTCCAAATCTATAAGCAATTATAAAAAAAAAAAAAAAAAAAAGTCAGATGCTCTTAAGCAATATGTGACATATTAGCTAGCAGTAATATCTGCAGAGTTCACCACTTTGTCATTAATAGTTACCTGCAAGATTGTCAAGCATGAAGTTCAGTAGCTTTCGGGTTCCATCTGGGTCCTGGTATAAATTGAGAATATCCTGTGATAAAGGATTGCCTAAAGCAGAAGACAAAAATAAAATCTGTAAGACTTACAATCGCAAGACCAGACAATTTCTAAAGTGAAATTTACTGTATTTAATCTGTTACATAAATTTAAAGAAATTACATAGATTTAAGGAAATATTCTCTTTGTTAAGACTGTCATAAAGAAAAACTTCAAGAGTTATACTGCATAATTATAATTTAGGTTTGTCAAAATCACATATATACATACATACATAAACATATCTATATTCATCTTGGTTAATTCTGAAGTAACATCACAACTTGGCACCTTGAAGTAACCCCTATAGGTTCTACATTTATCTTTGAAGACTATATTCTAACTGAAGGACAAATAGCCTTGTATGAGAAAGAATGAGTGACACAAAAAAAGAGGGAAGGTCTTACCAATTAGAATATTTATGGAGGAAAAGAAGATACTTTAAGTGAAAAGAAAATGTATTACACCAAGATGAATTAGTGAAATGTGAGAGGAAAGTAAGAATTATTTTAATGACTGTGATCAAGGATATCTGAGAACTAGGAATACAGGTTTATCAAATATCAAAAAACAAGCTATTGTTAACAGTCTATATTTTCCCTTAAGGAATAAAGAAGACAAGCATGCAACAACAGTCCAGAACACAGATTTGAAAAAACAAAAACCATGGAACTTCCAGAAATGAACAATAAACAAACAAAAATCTTCAGTGCAACATACTTCCACCAGAATGGCTAAAATTAAAAACTACTGACCAAGAAAGTGTTAGAAAGAATGTGGGGGACTTGGAACTCTCATAAATTGTTGGTGAAAATGTAAAATGGTACAACAACTATGGTGAAAATTGGGTTGGCAGTTTCCAACTGACCTGAAAGTAGGAAAAGGAAACTTTCTGGGGTGACAGAAATACCCTATATCTTGAGCTAGGCAGTTGTCACACATGTATACTTTTGTCAAAATTACTCAAGCTGCATACTTAAGTATTTGAGTATTCTAGTGTTGTAAGAGTAACTCAATAAAGTACTAGGTAAAAAAATCATGATGAATGAGTTAGGACCAGTAGATTAGACACAGGTGAAAATTAAGTTAGTGAACAGAAAAAAATACATTCAAAGAAATTACCCAAAATGTATCACTGAGAGTCAAAAAGATGTAAAACATGAGATGGTAAAACATAAGGGAGTTAAAATAAGAAATCTTAATATACATTAAGTTAGAGCTCTAGAAAGAGAGCACAGGACTTTGGTTTTTGGTGCAACATGTAAAGAGGTTGGAAGTTGTCACTCTTGCCCTAACAATCAAGGTCATAGGGCAACCGCGACACTGAATACAAACAGGCAGACACAGAGAATCACAGTCTGGTGCAAGAAGCCTAAAGCAGAAGCCCAGAACTGGAACTAGTATCAGTTGGAATACTTTAAGTCATAATTGACAAACTGCTGGAGGCTCAGAGAAGATTAGCTTGAGAGTTAAAAACTTGAGGGGACTCAGTCTTAGGGGCCCCCACACTTCCTTGAGTTTTACCTCCAAGAGCACCACCAAGTTCTCACTATAAAGACTGGAGAAAAATCCCCTCATGCTTCTGGCAGGGGAGGGTGAAAGCAATGTTCCTCCTTAACAAGTCCTCCCACAAGGGAAACTATTTACCAGAATAAGAGCAAGTACAGTTTTACCAAAGCCTAACCAAGCTGGGGTAAGAGAAATACCCGACACTCCAGCCCTCTCTAGCCCGAGGCGGGTGAGAGGGGACAATACCCAACTCAGGCTCATTAAAAGACTGAGACCTAAGCATGGAACTACAGGACTCTCCTCCTCCTTCCACACCTCACCACCACATCAATAGAGCTCCTCTATAACAACAGCGGATTACAGCTAAAAGAACTGCAATCTCAGACTCTATTTAAAGAGTCTCTGGGAAAACCCAAAGACAACAGAGGAGATAAAAACAAGGACACCAGAGGAAATTTTACACTCTGACACACAACAATAGCAAATAATAAACACAATCTGGCCAGAAAGAGAGATTAGAGAGAAGTGAGAAGAGACAATATTTGAAAAGAAAAAGGCTGCAAACTTTCAAAAGCTAATTTTTAAAAACACGAATAAACTGATACAAGAAGCGCGATGTATACAAAGAAGTTTACAAAAGGACTTCATTTTACATTTTACTGAAAACTAGAGAATTCCAACAGCAAATAGAAGACTTTAAAACCAGACAGGGAAAAGGACCAATTACTTCAAAAGAAAAAACATGCAAATGGCAATGAAATTCATTAGCAAGAATGGAAGCTAGAATACAGTGGAATAATAGCTCCAAAGACTGCAAGATGGTATTTGAGACTTCAACACTCCTCTACCAGTTGTTGACAGAAAAAGTAAACAGAAAATCAGTAAGATGGAGAAGACCAAAACAACACTGTCAATCAACTTGAGCTAACTGATATTTATACAACACTTTACTCAAAAACAGGAAAATATACATTCTTTTCAAGAGCACATGAACATTACCAAGAGAGACCATATTTTCGGCCAGAAAACAAACTGTAACACATTTAAAAAAGAAATGAAATCACACAAAGCATACTATCTGACCATAATAAAAACACAACTAGAAATCAACAAGAGACAGATACCTAGAAAATTCCAAAGTACTTTAAAATTAAACATCACACTTCTAAATAATCCAAGGTCAAAGACGAACTCACAGGGAATTTTAAAATGTTTTAATTTAATTAAAATGAAAAACACATTATCAATATTTGTAGGATGCAGCCAAGTCAGTGGTTAGAGGTAAATTTATTGTGTTAAATGCTTGCATTAGAAAAGAAAGATCTAAAATCTATGATCTAACTTCCATTTTAAGAATCTAAAAAAAGAAGAGCAAAGGAACCCCAAAGAAACAAGGAAGGGATTAATAAGCATAAGAGTAGAAATTAGTAAAACTTAAAACAGAAAAACATCAGATTACTAGTGAACCCAAAAGATGGTACTTTGAAAAAGGAAATAAAATTGATAAACTTATCATTGATAAGGACAAAAAGACACAACTTATAAACATCAAGAATGAAAAAGGAAACAGCCCTTGAGACATTAGAAGGATAAGGAATGTTAAGAAAATTTTATGTCTACAAATTCAACAACTTAGAAGAATTCCTTCAAAGACAGAAACTACCACAGCTCACTCAAAAAGATAGAAAGAAAACTGAATAAAAATGGCAGAGTAAGGACCTCCAAAAATTTACCCTTCCATAAAAACAGTAACAACAACAACAACAAAAATTTCAGAACTCTAAAAATTAACCAAATGATTGTAGCAACCCAGGAGTGTTTATTAAAGAAAAAAGGCAGAATATGTGTAAGGACAGCAATTTGTGGAGTTTTAACTTTTCCTGGTTCCTCATTACCAGGGCAGCTTGGCAATCACCGGAGCAACTAAAACTGAGCTGGAGATCTTTCAAAGCCTCATTCTCAAAGACTGGTCATTGTCTGATGTTTGTGGTGGTTCCTCGATTCTTGTCTAGTGCTAAAAGACTTCTACCTGGAGGACAGGGGAGTGGGTCAGGGGCATGTTTGAGGAAACTATTACTGGCAAATGCTTTAATTTCATGGCTGACTGAAGTCATGGAAACAGCTGAGGCAAACCATAGACTAACCAAAAAGCTTAAAAGGAAAAGCTCAGGAGTAAGACGTCAACAGGGGCTTTGTAGAGTTCTGACGTATTCCTGGGAACCTAGAAGGCTATCCATATGTGAAAGGCTAGGCACAAGCTTAGCAAAGACCTAAAAACAGCCTAAGCTCTCACCTCTCTCTGACCTTGAGGCTTTGCACAAGTAGGAAGTGAAGACTAAGGCAGATTTATAAATTTCCTGGCTGAGTAATGAAGGTGTGCCCCAAAACACACACAGAGCTACTTGGCCAAGAGCAGGAAATTTACCGGTTCCTGACATTTAAGGAAATCTCTGTTCAAGCATTAGCTGATCACTAAACTGAACAGAGATGTCCATGGGCACACATGATAAAGAATATGAGCTTTACAGAATTAGTTCTGAAAAGTCACTAAAGCAACAAACAGCAAATACAACAACAAACAACCCTGTGGAGGGGAGAGATTCTGATTTCAGAGTTGCCACATTATTTAAAATGTCCAGTTCTTAACAAAAAATTATGAAGCATGCAAAGAAACAAGACAGCCTATGTCCCATACACTAGGAAAATAAAGCAATCAATAGAAACCCAAGGATAATAAACACTGTACCTGAGGAATTACTAGAAAAGATTTTAAAAATCCACTATTTTAATATGTTCAAAGAGCTAGAGAAAATCATGTCTAAAGACTTAAAAGTATGAGAATGATGTCTCACCAAATAGAAAATATCAAAAAAGAAATCAAAACTCTAAAAAGGAACCAAATAGAAACTACAGGAAAGTAGAATGAAAAAATCACCAGAAGGGCTCAAGAGCAGTATTGGACAGGTAGAAGTAAGGGTCTGTTAATTTGAAGATAGGTCAGCTGAAGTTATAGACCCTGAGGAAGAGAAAGAAAAAAGAATGAAAAAAAATTAAAGAACAAAGAAAAATTAACAAAGCTCAGAGATCTATCAGACAACATCAAGTGCACCAAGATTTGTATAAAGGGAGTTCCAGCAGAGGAGAAAAGTACAGGAAAAAAATTTGAAGAAATATGGCCAAAAGCATCCCAAATTTGATGAAAAACCTTAACATACACATCCAAGAAGCTCAATAAACTCCACGTAGCATAAAATGAAAGAGAAATGCACCTAGAAAAATTATAATCAAACTATGGAAAGACAAAGAGAAAATGTTGAAAGCAACAGGAGAGTAGTGATTCATCATGTACTGATTCTCAATAAAATTATCAGCTGATTTCTCATCAGAAACTATGGAAGCCAAAAGGCTGTAGAATGACATACTCAAAGTACTGAAAGAAAAAGTCAACTAAGAATTCTATATCTAGCAAAACTCTCCTTCAAAATTAAAGGAGAAATTAAGAC